GCAGTTCATGGAAACCAATTTCAGAAAAGAGAAATCATAGAATAAAGAAAATAATTGACACCAGAATATATTTCAGGTTATATATTTTATGTAGTAATACAAATAGCACAATTGGAAAAGGGTGTGCAAAAGTAATTACAGTCCTTGTTTTTGGCTTACATTGCATTCAACCTTATATTGTCACAGGCAAACACTCTGTGCAATGAATCCACACTTTGATGCTACTATCTCATACATTCTCATACATACAGTATCATTGTTTTCAGTTGCTTTTGACCATTGTTTACAGTCAAAATGTTGCAAATCCTGTCTTTTTAACTGATAGATGTGCTCAATTATATCTCAGCTGACCCAATGAATTAGTTCTAACTAATTCAAATCAGTTTACATCCAGATTCACTGCATATTTGCAGTTTTATGCAAGTCAGATCAAATACAGTTGATTTTTCTGGCAAAGACATGACAGTAGTATATCTCATGCAGCAGTCACATAAATTACCATTTAAAAAGTCACTATTGTTTCTACAATGTCTAAACTTTAATTATGCATCTGGACCAAATAAAGACTTGTAAAGGTGGTCAAAAACTGTTACTGACATCTGTAGGTGAAAAGAAAAGAAGAAGAAATATGTTCAGATGCACACATGCTGAGAAAAAAGCTGTTCCTTTAACTCCATATCATATAATGTGACAGCTGGATCATGAAAAGTCTTGGCTACCACAGTTAGTCAGATGGTGGTGTTGATGATGGCACTGATCCTGTCTTAAGTCTGCAAAGCGTGATTTGAATAAGCTGTTGGACACAGAAGACGTGAGAACTGAACACTTTTACCTACCAGGATATAGTCTGCAGCCCCGTGAGGGGAAGAATAGATAAAACAAAGTGCAGATGTCATGTAATCAGTCACTGCAGCAACATGTAAGAAAGCCTGACTTCAACATAGGGGGAACTACCCAAAGCCCTTAATTATCATAAATGTCTTCGAGAAACAGAAGCTGAGGGACGTAAAGTTACCCTCATAATCTCATGACCTGAACATCATCTTTGGAGAGATTTTAAACATGCTGTGCATGCAAAGATCGTCGAAAACATCTCAGAACGTGAACAGCGGCTGAAAATTCCTAAATCCAAAATGAAAACACTCAGAAAACATTTCGATCAGCGGTCTCCAACCTTTTCTGTGCCACGGGCCGGTTTATGTCCGACAATATTTTCACGGCCTTTAAGGTGTCGCGGATAAGTACAACAAAATAAAACCAGTATCGGTACCAAAAAAAGAAGATTTATTCATAACACAGTAAAAGATCCAGGGAAACAGAGTTAATGATAAAAATGATTTAAAAAAATAACGATAAAAACGCTGAAAACCATAAATTTCACACCCGAGCCTCAACCCTCGCAGCCCAAACGACCCACAGACCGGTCTGTGGCCCGGGGGTTGGGGAAAGTTCAACACTGATCTAGTTACTTGGTAGTTAATATGTGAGACAAGTACTTTTTGCATTCAACTGTGTCGTCATCAAAGTACTGCAACAATTAGGCACATGGGTTAGTAATTACTGAAAGAACAATACTGCAGATAATACAGAGCAACAGGAGATAGACTGACACACAGAACATGTATGTGCTGCATCCTGCCCGGCTGTTGGCCACAGATCAAACTGTAGGCCGAAGTATCACGTCAAGAATTTCAACACAACATTCGAACAAACAGTGCAGTGTATCTACAACCGAAGCCCATCATTTGCCAGCACCTAATGCATAAACTTTAATATATCAACAGCTTATTGATGGAAAATTGAAAGCAGGTGAAACGATGCAGTCGCTGTCAGACCGTTTGATGGTTAGTATTGATTTTGTAAAACGTTTAAGTTATTGTTGTTTTTTTTTATTTTATTTTATATTTTGTGTTTTTTCCAAGTCCAAGACCTTTGGCTAAAGTGTTGATGAATTTCATTAAGATATTAAGACATTAGTAGTTGTAATACTTGTAAGTTTATCATGCAACGTGTGATTAAATGTTAAACTCACTGCCACGTCAACACAAACTACTCAAAAACAAAGCAGGTCAAAAATATCAAGACTTCAGATGAGCAAATATATTCATACAGTCATTAGTAGAATGGAAACATGCTGAAGATCAGATCTCCTCTTGAATATCGTGAAGATCTGAAAAAAGAGAACAAATATAAATTCAGACCTCTAACATCAGTTTAACGGTGCAGGATTTTAGTGTCAAGTATCCAAACATAATCCAAACAAATCGAATTAAAGCTCATGTGTTTTGTTTGAGGGATGAGGATACAAAGGCAGTCATTAAACTCGTCGGACTTCTGGGGTCACCCAACTTCTTTAAAGCTCTGGATGTTGTGGAGCTGTTCCGATTTATACAGCTTTGCAACGTTGCATGCAAATTGTGGGGAGTAGCTCTGGACTGGCAAGTTGGCTGGGGGTTGTTGTATAAAAAGCTAAGTGTAAACATGTAGCCCATCTTTTTTCTGGGAAATCAAAAAGTAAATGGTTTGTAGCTATGTCTTTATATCCTAATCAGACAACCAAGTACAGTAAAAGGTCTTACGTGTGGTATTTGCATTCGGATGCTGAGGAGAAGGGCTTAGACTAAAATGGAAGAAATCAAACGGGAACATTAGGAGTACCAAACCAAATCAGCAGTTTGGTACATTTTTTAGTTACATTTACAAATGACGATAAAGTTATTTTGTCAGAAAGTGTTTTTGAACAAGTGAAACATTTCTGTCCTGATGCTCAGTTATGCACGATCTGATATCCTCGTGTTGGTGTTGTTCCCAGATCATCATACTAAAGGTTGTTCCAGGATCAACATTGCAAGTGACCAATCAGAATGTTGTGATGTCATACTTTTGCGACTTCAGGAAAAACCGGCGTAAAACAAAAAACTGTACTTAAGCTGCGAGAAACCGCCTTTGTCCGCCGATCAACGGACCCTAACCCTGACCCTAACCCTAACCCTTTAATAAACGCTAAGCAGAATTGATATTGTCCTTGCAACATTGGAATTTCATAAATGCACGAATGGGTTGGTGCGCAAAAGAATAACGTCACAATAATGTGATTGGTCACTTGCAATGTTGAACCTGGAACAACATTTTCATGATGATCTGGGAACAACACCAACACGACGATATCAGATCATCCCTCAGTTTTACAGGTAAGTAAATCCCAAAAGCTTGACTCTGTTCATCTGGACGTTTTCAGTGGGCGAAACGTTTCGTCACTCATCCAGGTGACTTCTTCAGGCTCAGCTGACTGCAGGTCAGTAACTTGACCATTAGTATGCAAATTGTCAAGACCAGTGATCAACAACCACTGATCAGTGGCCATGAGTCCCATTCACAGAGAGCTGGGGAATGGCTGCAATCACAGAAGAGCCACCTCGTCAGGCCAGGACTCTGCAGTCTATTTACACCTACAGGCCAGTGGACACTCTTTCAAGGATGAGGATGTAACATCCTGGACAGGGAGGAACGCTGGTTTGAGGGCGGAGTCAAGGAGACCATTAACGTGAAAGGGGAAAGACCATCTCTGAATGGAGGAGGGGCCTAAGGGTACATCTGTCACCATCTTACAATGCTGTGATTGCAGCCATTCAACTCTCTGTGATCGGGACTCACGGTTATTGATCAATGATCATGACAATTTGGATATTAATGATCAAAGAACTGACCTCACAGCCCATTGTTCCTTCAGTGGTTTCAGTCATTATTTAAATGTCCTGTTTAAAGGTTTGAAACCTGCAGTCAGCTGAGACTGAAGACGTCACCTGATGATGAAACGTTTCTCGCACTGAAAACATCCTGATGAACAGAATCAAACATTCTAGGTTTCTTTAGTAAAGAAAAGTTATTATTTTTTACACAATAACAAAATTATTTTCAGAAAAAACAACTGAGGGTTATTTTTCAATTAACACTCAATATAATTTGGGCTGTCACTGAAACCGCTGTGCCAAAAACCAAAGAAATGGACAAGAACTGCATATAAACTATAGATATAAATACACAGACAGTAGTCGGTCACATCGTGTCTGTCTGTTACCTTTGGAGCTTTCAGATGCAGTCCCATCGTCATCATCATCTGACGTCACATATACCTCCAGGTCAATGACTTGCTGCAGGCTCGACTGGTGAACAGAATCTTGGTTGGCTTGCATGTTATAAACTCCAGAAATCTCTGTTTCTGACTGCATTGACAAAGGCTTAGACATCTAGGAAAGAGCAAAGAAACATGAGTAATGGCTACAGAAAACGCAGCTGACTTATAACAACCAACAGGTTTATTTTACTCCTCTCAGAGGTCGTTTCTTCAGGCTTCTCTGCCTCTTAGTCAAATGCTCAACCTATCTGCTCCATCAGCTCAGTCATCACCAGATCATCAGCCAGAGGTAGTGTGTCTGTTCTGTTCATGTTACCAGTCAGTTTGTTTTTCACAGCTATCCTCTTTGTCTGTTCTGATCGAGCATATGTGATGGCCTGCATCTCCTGATAGCGTTGTTCCAACTTTCTGTAAACAGTGTTGGTCAAGTTACTTGAAAAAAGTAATCAGTAACTAATTACTGATTACTTCCCCCAAAAAGTAAAA